GGGGCGGTGCCGCCGCCGCCTCCGCCACCGCCCCGCCGGTTCCTGCTTCCCAGGGACGGCGTCGCCCGGCTCCGGCAAGTCCCTCCTCCGTCTCGGCAGTGCGGGCCGACACCCCCCCCTCCTCCTCCGCCCCAACCCGGCTGCAGCGTCCTCCGGCCGCAGCGGCGGTGTCCGCCGGCCCCGCGGCGCCCATGGCGGCGGAGCCTCAGCCTAAGGCGCTGACTCGCAAGCCCCTCCTGCTCAACAAAGTGGAGGGCTCGCAGGACGTGGTGAACATGGCAGCGATCGTGCCCAAGGAGGATGGGGTCATCAGCGTCTCCGAGGACAGGTACCGGGAGCGGGCGTCCGCAGGTCCTGTGGGGCCGTGGCGGTGGCCTGTCACCTCCCACCATCGCTCGTCGGGAATGGTGGTGGTAGTGGACTCACCACCGCAGGACCCCGATGGTCCACCACCATCACCGACCAGCGATGGTGGGAGGTGACAGGTCCCAGGGTGGTGGTGACAGACCACCACCATCACTGATGTGGCTGTCAACTCCACCACGGGAGTCCAGGCGGGTCGCGGTGGTCCAGCATGGGGACATGGCTTCAGGCAGCCGCAGCCAGCTGGTCCTAGAGGAGAAGGAGCTTGGGGCAGGGGTGTGCAGCTTGGTCCATCTCCTTCTCCACCGCCGTGTGGGTCAGGGCAGTGGGTGGGCTGGGGCGCTGCTGAAACTTGCAGGACTTGAGTGACTTCTGTAACTCGGGTAAAATGGGATCTGAGAGCGCTTTCATCACAAGGATTGGCCGGGGTGGAGATGGCTGTGGAGGTCTTTGACCTTGCCTTAAGATTGCCGTGGCATTGGCTAAAACAGTAGTTTTGGTTCCCTCTTCCCCTCTCCAAACGTTTCTTGGTAATTGTTTAAAAATACCGTGTGTCAGTGATAAGATCTTGGAGTTAAAATCTCATGCTGTAAAGCTGCCAAAGAGGAGAATGTTTTCAGGCCGTTTTTGCCGAGCTCTGAGGCTGCCCCGAGGCAGCTCCATCTCTTCTGAAAGAGCTCAAACTTCATTCAGCCCTGCAGCTGGAGCTTCAAAACTCCATTCTGAAGCTGTCTTCCTTTAAAGTAAGAGCTTATTTTTGTTGCAGAGTCCATAAGTAATTATTTTAAGCAAAGTTTCTTTGCAACTCGGGTGCATGGTGTAACCCACCTTGAAATGTGTCCCCACCTTGAAAGACAAAAGTTGCTCAGTGTGTGAATATATTTTGATTCTCAAGTCTTTTTTGGTGGACTGTTTCTCTTGGATGTTCTCTCTGTTATGGTGCTAAGTGTCTGCTTTTATGTCTCTGCTAGCTTTCTGGAAAACTATCAGTATTTCTTTCATCTCATCCTTGTCCACAGTGTGAGTTAGTTTTCAGCTAGTTGTCAAATATGTGCAAATTTAAGATTATTTAAGTTCATCCAAACTGTGGTCTTCAAGTGAACTCTCATGCCCCATAGCAAGAGGAACTGAATTACATAAAACAAGTACACTGTCAAAGCAACTTTAAGTAGAGTTTTACATTGCTATGAGCTCCTGATTTTATTGTCTTTACATTTTGTTGTGTGTCTTTGTATTTTTGGTGAAAATGAATTAAGCTTGAGTGTGTTTTTCCTCATAGTAGCTTCTTAGGCTTACTCAGCCGTTTCTTTTTATCTGTAAAAAGGTATTCCTGAAATTCAGTTGCTCTCGTATAGGTCTCTCTCAATCTCTGTCTGTCCCCACACCTTAGAAAAAATAAGTAGCTTCTGCTGTTTTAGCAAGTATGGCTTGTTGAGAATAGGTTGATTCTCCAAGTTGGTATTTCTATGTAGAGAAAGGAATTCATCAGAGATCTTTGTTTCACTGGTAATTGAGATGTTAGGCTGAAGAAACCAGTGGTGAAGAAGAAGCCAGGGGTTTCACGCTAAGAAACTTGCTAGTTCATGAGCAACCATCCCTATTCCTTCCCATCCCAGAGCAAACCCCTGGGGTAGGTCAGTTAGGTCCTGCTTGCTGGGTAGAGAAATCTGTTGCTAGATGTGGGAGGTGTCCCTGCCCACGGCAGGGGGGTTGGAACTAGATGATCTTTAAGATCCCTTCTAACTCTAACCATTCTATGATTCTGCGATGATTCCATGTGCTGCTAGATGTCTGAAGTTTTGCTGGTGATACAGGATAGCTCTGCGGACATTAAAACACTGTAGTAAGTCTGGAGGTTCCCAGGCTATTTTCTGATTAAAGGCACTAACCAGATAATTTGCCTGCTTGTGGGGCTGGTTTGCAGTGTCTTTGAGATGCTATGAGCTATGATCGTGCCTTTCATTTCTTTAGGCATGAAGATGTTGATTGATGGATTTTTCCTTAATTTTATGTCTGCATTAGCATTTTTATTGCAATTAAAGCATTCAAAGGCTAAAAGTTATTTGGAAGGAATAGGATTTTGGGATACCTGGGGTGGAAGCAGAGTTTAAGGGACTTTCAATACCTGTGGCTTATGGTTAGGCTTGTGCAGATCCTTCTGTACTTTTTCCTGTTTGGACCTGCCTTCTAGTGTTAGTGTTGATGTGATTGTTTAATGGCCTTGGAATGTGGAGACCTTTTAGAGATTCCTGGAAACTGTAAAGGACAGGTTCAGGAGATGTTATCTGTCTTTTGTTAGCTAAATAAGTGAGTTTTGGCCGTGTTTCCCAGCCTGTGATAAGTACTGCTCATCTGAGAGAAATGTTCTGAAACTTTTGCAGAGGGTTTCAGCTGGAACGACTTGCCATCTCCAGCACTTGCTTCAGGCTGAGGAGGAAGGGTGTTCTGGAGATGTAGAGGAGGGAGTTCTCCGTTGCTTTGCTGGTTAATGGCTGAATATATATATATCATTGTTGAAGTTGCTGGTAGTCTTAACATATGCCAACTACATATCGCTTTAAAGGCTTTCTGTAGTGCTTGATGTGGCTCTATATCAGTAAACCCTTCAAAGCAGGAGCTTCATCTCTAGTCTCTATTTTTATGGCACCAGTGGTTATATTTGGTTTTAAGAGACATGGAAGTGGTTTCAGCTATAGCTTGCAGACATAGTAATGCATTATATAGCTCTGAATTGTTGTATTTGTAGCACATACATGCATGTATTTTAAGAAATAAAATTAAAACTAAGCAATAATAGAGAGTGTGGTTATTCCTCATAAAGATGGCATAGATGGGGAAAGAAGGAATCTCGTGGGGGGTAGGGGGTATGTTACATATTTAACTAGATTATCTAAACTTTACATAACCTGCAAGGTTGGAGTTTCTTTTCAGCGTGCATCACCTGTATGCTCTACGTGTTTTCTCTTCTGAAACCTAGTCACTCATGTTAGTTGAACAATGTGCGTTGTGTCTTATCTTAGTTAATTTGTCTGATTCCTTACTAGGGTAAAACAGACTTAGCCTCTATCTGCTTACAGCACAGCATTGGGAGGGATAAGACATAATTTTATTTTGTGTTTTGCTTCTAAGTAAAAGAGGTGCACCTATCTAGGCAGGTGAGAGTTAAAGGGATGGCAGCATTTGTTATCCAAGAATGTATAAATTTGATACAGGAAGGCTATGAGAATGAGATTATTAGCTTTCATTCATGCTTTTTTACCTGCCAGAAAATGAGTGGAATTAACAGACAGATGTATCCAAACATGTGGAGTCTTGAGTGATCCATAGCATCAAATGCCCCAGGTGCTACACATGAAGCTAAAATGGGATTCTCCTAATGTGCACAGCTGGCCCCAAGTTGTCATCAGCTTCCTGCGTGAGTTAAAAGCGTGCGCTATCTTTTCAAAATTGCTGAGCATCCTTGTCTTTTGTTGGCTTCAGAGGGAGATGTGGGTGTTGGGCATGTCTGAAAAGTAGGTCACTGGCATGTCAAGTTGAGACATATCAACTGTGCTCCAGAGGAGATTTAGTATCATTAATCTTACCTGAGTGTGGGGATACAGTGGGAGAAGTGCACTGACTCACCCAGCTTTGGATTCTGCTTGTTGCTGTACGCTTCTGTGTTTCTCAAGAGCCTGCCACTGATGTGAGTGCTAATTCAGCTGGGCGTCTGATGGGCTGGTCAAGTGTCACCGTGAAACACTGGCAGGAGGGGGATAGGTGTCATCGTGGTACACCTGCACTTTGCCACTAGCCATCTTTTTTTTTTTTCCACTAGCTATATTGTGAGAAAATTTTAGACACATGCTGTTGTAAGCAACTTTCTTGATAATTTTGAACTCTGGTCTGTGCCCTCTTTTGGGTGGGAGTTTTGTTCTCTCTCCCACGCTACAGACCTTCGAAATGTAGGTGTTGCAGTCAAGAGCTCTTCTCCTTGGTATATTCATGGGAGGTAAAAGCTTTCATAGTCAACTGAAAATTGTCAAAATCCCCCTTTTTTTTTTTTTTTACTAAACAGGCAATCTAGTCTTCTAGAAGGTGACAAAACCTAGAGGAAAAATATTTATGCCATAGGAACTTTTCTCTCTTTCTCCCTCTCTCTCTCTCTCTTTATAATACAACAGAGATCTCTGTCTTCTCCACTACCTTGTATCATCTTAAGTTCTTTTTGAACTGAGATGTCTCAGCTTCCTTGTATGGATTGCTATATAAACAGTGAGCCTGGATAGTTTGTGGTGTACGTTCATAATAGTATCTTCATCTCACATAGGGATAACTGTGCAGAGCTTGTATTGCCAGGTTTGGTTTACAGTTTGAGGTTTTTAAATGCAGATGTACACTGGAGAGGTTTTTAAATGCAGATGTGCACTTAAGCTGTTGTCCAAAGCTTGTCTCCTGGGTGTGCTAAGTAGGAGGTATTTTAGGGGGTGCAAAAAATGGATGACCATCTTGTGTAGATGAAATCTTAACTTTGTTAAACTAGTGGTAAACTAGGAATGGGAATGTGCATATATGGCAAGAAATGTGGGGATTGTCTTTTGGCATTCTGCTGATGTGCCTTCTAGCATGGAGGAGTGTGATCTTTCCACCCTTCAATATATCATATATCAAAAACAATCTTTCGCTCCTTCTGGTTTTCTTGTCCAGATCCAGAACATAAGGCATGTAACATTATAGTTCATGCCTGTGAAATACCTCTAATGGAAAGGTGGGATTCTCCACTCAGTGCTGCATCCAGGCGGGATGCGAGGAACTGCAGACCCTTGGTAAACTCTCTGGGTTTCCTTTCTGCTGTGGTGGAGTGGTAGAGAGTGATTTCTTTGCGTAGCTATGGTTTCAATATAGTGACTTTTACCTAAGCACGGGGTTATGTCACTGATGGCCACTCTGCTGTGTGTGTGGCTGTTGGTTTGCAGCAGAGGTGCA